ATTTTTTCGTTAGAATTCTATTTAAATTTCAATATAAGTAATTAATATTAATACAATTTTTAATTGTTTTAAATTAAACCACGTGTGTAAGTAACTAACTTCTTCATTATTATTATTATTATTTAAATAATTTATTTGTCGTTATTTAAAAAAAAATAATTTCATAACTTTTCCTATTAACGTCACGGTTTATTTAATAAAAATTTGCAATTACGATCGTTTAAAAAAAAAAAAAAAAACAAAATGGAGTAACTTTTTTCCATTTTCTTGGTTGTTATTGGAATAACTCTTGACCCTTTTTTTTTTAAATAAAAAATTTGGTCAGTCATTAGCGGTTTAATCAGGAATCAGGAATCGTAATAAAAAAAAAAAAAAAAAAATTATTACACGGGTACCTCCTCAATGAAATTGGTAATTAACAAAACCTTGGCACACATTTAATAATAATTTTTCGGGTACTACTTTTTTGTCTTTCATTTACCTAATTATAACCGAATTAAAAAATTATAAACAAAAAAAGCTAAACATATTGTTAATAATAAAATACTTAACCGGAAATATTAAAAAGAGCGAGAGAGAAAGAAAGAGAGAGAAAGAGAGACTAAGAGAGAGAGAGAGAGAGAGAGAGAGATAGAAAGAAAACTCATTTTTAAATGGCGACATTTAAATATTACGTAATATTATCATTTTTAAAAAATTTTTTTTTGTTAAAAAATAAAGGAAAAAAATTATTATTACCGTTATAAAAATTTTAATTTAAATACATAAAATTATTTAATTAATTTATTAATTAATAATTAATAATCACTTCTCAAATTTAAAATTTTTTTACCGTTTTTTTCATTTTATTGTCGACGACATTAATCATAAAAAAAAAATTTCAAAAAAATCGTTTGTTGTTGTTGTTGTAATGAGTAAAATGACCTTTAAAATTGTTATTCACACGCACACACACACACAGAAAAATTATTTTAGGGGTGTAATAACCCCTAACTTGACTAGACATTCCAAAAAAAAAAAAATCGTTAGATTTATTATAAGGTATCAAACACGTCAGATATATAAAAACTTTTAGGTTCTCAGTTGGATAATCAAAAAAAAAAAGTAAAAAGTAAAAAAAAAACGAACTTTAACAAAATATATTTTTCGGATTTAAATTAGGGTCAACTAAAACAGGTAACCAACCACAGGTTGTACCTGTGTTTGTGTGTGTGTGTGTGTGTGTGTGTGTGTGTGTAAAATACTCAGAGTAAAATGAGTACCTTTTCCAAAATGATAAATGATAATGAATTGGATGGTAACGAAATGGGCAGGAGATGTTGTATACGATGTTTCAGGTATATAACAGGTATTGTTGCAAAGTCGTACTACCTTTTCCCTTTAAACTAAAATTTTATATTGTAAAAAAAAAAAAATATTGCTTAATCACTGATTATCGAATTTTTTATTCTTTCAGTTGTTTAAAAAAAAAAAAAAAAAAATGTTAAATTGATTTAACCTTGTTTTTACCCGAAAAAAAATTTAATTTTCATACATTTTTTGTAATCATCACTCAAGAAGAGAAACGAACCCAACGTAAACCAAAAGAGAGAAAGAGAGAGAGAGAGAGAGAGAGAGAGAGAGAGAAACCTTGGAACTCTTAAATAAACTAAAAAAAATTTTTTTTTTGCGTTATCACGGTCGATATAATCTACCCTCGGTAAAATCGTACAAAAAAGTACACTCGAATTGGCTCTGGAAATAGTCCAAAAAGAAAAAAAAAAAAAAAATACATACTTGAATTGTTTTTAATAAAAGCCCGCGCCCCATGATTACTGCTGGATTCTGGAGTTTGATTATCGGAAATTTGATTATTCTCTCTCTCTCTCTTTCACAATCCTATGAAAAGGTTTCCATCGATTAAATCCATCTTATTTAAAACGTCGTCCTCATCGTCATAATTTCGTGAGAATTTTCTCGAATATGAGAAATGAAACTCCTAATGAGAATAAATTTAAAAAAAAAAAAAAAAAAAAACCTTTTATTAATAATAATAATTCTTTTGTATTTTAATATGATTTTCAAAAAATGAAAAGGAACGCAGAAGCAAAACCTTCTGACGCCATTTTTTTTTTTTTTTAAACAATTCAAAATAATAAATTTTTTTTAAACTTATAAATAAATATATATATTTCGAGGAAAGAAAGCTTTTTATATTATTTTATCTCTACTACTATTTTTAAAATTTAAATTTTCCTAAAAAAAAAAAAAAAAGCAGAAAAAAGCAGAAGAGCAAAAAAAAAAAAAAAGAGAAGAGAATTATATAAATTGTTTATGGCGTCCAAAAAAAAAAAAAAAAATGACGACGTGTAATGTGCGCATGCTCAAATGGGGGGAATTCAAAAAAAAAAAAAAAAACTTTTCTATGAATCTCATTTATTATTATTTCCTATTCCCCATTTTATTTTTTATTTTATTTTAATAATAAAATAAAAAATGGAACTCGAAACTAACTTTTTTTTATTTAAATAAATAGTTTTAAAAAAAAATTTTAAATATTATAAATTATTCTAGAAAAAAATTTTTAACATTTAAATGGTTAACATAACCGATATAATTAGAAGCCATCTTTATTTTTTTTTTTTAAAATAAATATCGCGTGATTTTTAAAATTATTATTATTATTATTATTATATTTATAAATTATCAATTATATGTGCTCGAATCGATCGAAATAACCTTTTTTTTTTTTTTTTTGAACAAATAATTAAGTTTAAATAACTTTAGGTTATTTAAATATAATTATTTCCCCCCAAACAACAACAAAATAACTTTTTGTTATTATTTTAATAACAATATAATAATTAACATAAATAAATTATTATTATTATTATTATACCTTTGTGAATAATAGCTTCTTAACAACAACGTGTTTTTCTTTGTAACCGTTATTTGTAATCAGGTAGTGGTAGTGGTAGTGGTGGTGGTAGTGAGTTGTAGTAATACCCTTTATCGATACTTCCTGCAATTTTAACAAAATATGTATATGTATATATAATCAAGGGGTTTCATTCGATAAGCAGACGAAAATGGGTTTGAATTTATTAAAAATCCAACACACGCACACGCACACACACACACACATTATGTGCACCTTGAGGTGGAGAACAATTATTATTATTATTATTTTTGAGGTAAACACCCTCTGGTAGTAAAAACCTTTTTTTTTTTTCTCTCATTGTTTTCATTCAGTTTAAAAATTCTCCATCGTTTTCTATAACCTAAAAAAACTATTGAAAATTTTCTATAAGGTTGACGATTTTTTTTTTTTTTGGGGGGGGGGAGAAGGGAGAAAAATCATTTTTCATCATTGCAAACTTTTTAATAATTCAAAAAGTTAAATCGAAAAAAAAATATTGATTCGGTTAATAAAAAAAAAAAAATTCGACGGTTTTCATTTTTTTTTTCTACCCGGTAATAAACCCTAAAAAGGCTCCAAGAGTCAATTATGTTACCTGTCGGATAAAAAGGAAGAAAAGAAGGTAAAAAAATTTTAAAGGTAATTGCTGCGAATAAGGAGCAGTAGCCATAAAGGCTGCATAACCTCAAGGCAATACCTTAACAGACCGCAAAGATAATAATTTTAAACCCAAAATAATAATAATTATGATACGTTACAAAACAAAAAGAAAAACTGAATTTTTTTTTTTTTTGTGTATCGGGGGGGGGGCAATTTATGGCAACTTGATTCAGACGCCAAAATTTAATTCATTATGTTCAAAACATTAATTTGCAGTTGGGTGGGGGTCCCCTTTTTTCTTCGATGGATGATGGCAACCAATTTTTCTTTTTGAAAAAATTAAAATCTATTTTATAAGACCGACGACGACGTCGTTTCTTTTTTTTTTTCTATGTCTCCTAAAAACAAATTACATAATTTGTAATTTTTTGCCCTAATTTAAAAATCTTCTAACGAAAATTTAATAACTTAACCTTCTACCTTCGCCATTTTTTACACAATTTTAATACCATTTTTCTATTTTTACAATAACCAAGATGTAATTTAAAAATAATAATAATAATAAAGAAAGAGAGAGAGAGAGAGAGGGAGAACCTGTACGAAATTTAATATCGAAAATGGCTTTTTTTAAAATAAATTAATCGATTTTAATAAATCTAATTATGTAATTTTATCTCTCTTTTCAACCTTTATTTTTTTTTTAAATAATCAATTGCCAGGATATTCCAAAAGTAAATTATTTGAAGGGCGTAATTATTCATTTAAATTTTTTTTTCAAGGGTTTAATTTTTAAGTAACGCGCACACTCTCTGTAAAAATAACTTAATATTAATTAAAATGAAAAACCTTAAAAAATGTTTTCTCACTTTTACAGGTATCAAGGTTTTAACTATACAATTGCTTTAAATAAAAATAATTTCGTTTTAAACTTAAATAAATCATGTGACCTAATCGATTTTAAATTCTATAAAATGTTTTTTATGTTAATAATAATAATAATAATAATAATAATAATAATAATAATAATAAAACTATCATTAAAATTTAAAATTAGCAAGTAAATAATAAATTATTTAAACAAATAAATAAATTTTTCTTTAAAAATAAAGATAAGTTATTATTATTATTTTTTTTTCTAACTTCTTCGTTGGTAATTTTTAGTATTGTTTAAAAAATTTTCTCGATATCATTATTATTATTAACAATTGTAAAAATTTAAATGTTTGAGTGCATATCTACAATTCATAAAAATTATTTTTATTTAAATTTTTTTGTAGGAGTTTTATAAAAACTATCAAAATCTGATTTAGAACATGTAAAAAAGTCTTTTTATAAGTTTTAAAAATGAATCGAATATATATATATGGATTACTCTTACTGTGATAGAAACTGTTTTTATATCTTTTTTAAACTAAAAACTTACATAAAAATTTTTTTTTTTTTATATATATATATAGAAACCATTATATTTTACTTTTTTCGATTTATTTTCTCTATGGAATTAACAGACTAATCTGTAAGATATATATCGTCCAGCTGTTTCTGATGGTCTTACAATTTTTACAACCTGTAATAAATAAGTCGTTTTAATATTTTCGAATGCATTCATAACAAAATTTTTTGTTTGATTTTTTTTAAAAAAATAAAATTTAAGAATTTTATACCTACACTTACTTGTTTTCATTATAAAAACTAAATAAATATTTAAATACTTTAGTTAATATTTTTTTTCTTCAAAAGTTTACAAAATAGAAACACATTATTGTACTTTTTTTAAAATTTTCTTAATCGTTAATAATAATTATATTATTTTATGGTGCTGCACCAAATTATTTTTATGATTTGAATGCAATTTTTCAAAATGTTATCATAATGTATCAAACCTATTTAGTTTAAGATTAAAATTTTTATAGGTTGTCTATATCGGTAAAAATAATATATTTAAATTTGTGCCATACCTGTCCTCTTTTTAATCCGAAATATCTTGCAACAGGATCTCCTGCTTGAATTCTCATCAATTGATTTTCTTTTAATTTACTGAAATTTATGTAATTAAGAAAATAAATATTTGTAATCGATGTAATTATTTTAAAGTTTTGTAATCAAATTAAAAGAATCTTACTATCTTTGAAGTAATTCTTGTTTTTCTTCTGGTGTCATAACCACATGCTCTGGTACCAATTCATGTTCTGTAATATTTATCAATAATTCAGATTCTAAAAATTGTTCTAATATATACTTTGGTGCCATATCTGAAAGAGACTGTTTTGCCGATGGAGTCATTCCTTGTTGAACCACAATTATAGCTCTATGAATATTTTCTTCTTGCATTCTTTGACAGTATGTTTTTATAGTTTTTATACCAATTTTAGGATCGTCAGGAAAAAAAACAAACATTTGATCTGTAGGATCATCGTTATGAGCAACTAAAACAATTAAATCACTTCTCGCGGGAATTTTTTCACTGGGTTTATCTCCAAATTGTTCTTTAAACTGTTCTAATGTTTGATCTAATTCATCTTGGGTAACAAGATAACCTCTATCGTGGCAAAGCTGCAATTTTTTTTTTTTTTTTAATTATAATTAATTTTAAATTATCAAACAATTATTATTATTATCGATATTATATACCTGCATGACCGTTTTTCTAATTCTCCATAATTTATACGTTTCCGCTTCGTCATCCATTATTTGAAAAAAATAATAATTTTAGACTAACTCTTACCGCTAAATATAAGCTTACTTATTGCGAGATCAGTGATACCAACTTAATTTTATTAAAATAAAAATAAGAAAGAACGATAATAATAAATCCCGCTTTAGTTTTTTTTTTTTTTTCAAATTGTTTATTATTATTATTATTATTATTAATTTTTTTTTTTTTAAATGGATCTTTTAGAAGGGAAATCAATTTTAGATAAGCGAAATGTATTAGTTTTAGCAGACGTTGCCCTTAAAAAAAAAAATTTAATACTCTATTACTTTACGACTTTGGACTGTGATACTTGCCGAGTTTTTGATGATAAATTACACAAAGTTTATTCGGAAGCCGTTCTTAGAAAATTAGAAATAGCCATAATCGTAGCTTCACTTGACCAAAAAGAAGATGATTTTTTAAATAATAAAAAAAAATATTACAAAGAATGGTTTGCCATACCTTTCAAAGACGAATTAAATCAGTAAGGAAACAATATTACTTTTGTCATATCGATCCCAACTTTTATTTTAATTAATAATATTTGTTTCATTTCAGTGTTCTTGTTTACAATTACGGAATAACACATATCCCTTCGTTAGTTGTGGTAAGAAAAAATGGTGCATTAGTAACATTAAACGGTAAAGAAGACATTGAAAATCTTGATATAAATGTTTTGGTCACGTGGTCAGAATGAAAAAAAAATTATTTTCTTTTTTTTTTTTTAAATAAATAATGATACGAATATTTATTTTAAATTTATATTTTTATTTATTTCTCTTAACCAAAAATAATACAATTAAGACATATAAAATATTGATAATTAATAAAATTTTAATTTTATATTTTTAACTTTTTTTTTTTTTTTTTTTTTAAATGGTAAAAACACTGTGCATTAATATTATATAGTAAATCTTTAAATTTCTAAACTACTTTTTTTTTTTTTTTGGTATACATAATTGCCAATTAAAATCAAAGCATTTACCAATATTTTTCTAATGATGATACTAATTTCTGTAATAAAAAAAAAAAAAAATTCCAATTAAAACTTTTTTTTTTGTGTGGATAAATTCAGGCAGTAAATTTCAAAACGATGAAATAATAATTTAAGCTTAATTCGCCATTACTATAATCAATTTTTTTTAGGAAAAAAAAAAACTTTTAAAGTCTTACCGAAGGTTCGGTAGTCGGTCCATGTCTTTCGACAACTTTTCCATTTCTGTCAACGATGAACTTTGTGAAATTCCACTTAATCGCACTAAAAAAAAAAAAAAATTAGCAAATACATTTTCATGTACCTCCATAAAACTCGGAGTTTAGCATAATTTTTTTTGTTTTTTTTACGTACTCTCCCAAGGTACCCCCTTGTTCTTTTTTCAAATATTTCCAAAGGGGCGAAGCATCGTCTCCGTTAACTTTTATCTTACTGAAAAAATCAAAATGAGCATTTTTCTTTTTCGCAAAGCAAACAATTTCTTCATCGGTTCCCGGTTCTTGTCCACCGAATTGATTGCAAGGGAAAGCCAATATTCTCAATCCTTTCGAATCGTGAAATTTATCATGGAGTTCAACGAGTTCTTTATAATTGGTTGCAGTCAAACCACATCTTGAAGCAACGTTAACAATTAATAGAACGTGACCTTTGTACTTTTCCAATGAAACTGGATTTCCCGATGAATCATTTACGGTGAAGTCGTATACTGATTGAGCTGATTTCCAATCGTCAGAACTCTGAAATTTAAAACACATTATATATTATTATTATTATTATTTATTTTTATGTATTTTAAATAATTATTATAATGTTGAAAATGATTTTGGGTTTTATTTAAGGCTTGAAATAAAATTCTAGCAAACTTATTAAAAGTCTACAAACGTTTGTTATTTGTAACAGAGGATGATTATTCACACAAAAACTTTTTTTTTTTTTAAAGTTTTAAAGCTTTTAACGAAAATCAATAATTTATAATAAATAAGAGACGTAAAAATAAAAGCAAACGATTAAAAAAAAAAAAAACGATACAAACCATGTTAAAAGAAAAGAAAATTTCAACAACGATGATTGTTTAAATTTATTTCTGATAAAAAATAAAAAAAAAGTGTAAGACACTTGAAAATATTATGAATACGAGTTTCTTTAATATTCAATTAATAATTAATGAGATCAATAATGCAACAGCAAAAAAAAAAAGAAAACAATTTTTTTAAATTAATAAATACAATAATTACAGATTTATCGGTAAAAACGACAAAACTATTGCTTATACATCTTCCATTATTTATTTTTGCATTAAATATTTTATGAAATTCGAAACCCTTTTGAATTATAAAAGGTTTTGACGATTGTGTACATTTAAAGGCCAGTTTCCAAGCCAACTCAATTCCAGGAACCATTTTTAAATTATTTTTAATAATGACCTTAATTAATTTAAGAAGAAGATAAAATGAATTTTTGTTTTACAACCCGAAACCCTGAAAAAAATTAATAATTTTTCTTTCAGAAAAGTTTTTTACATTCCTTAACATTATTTTCAGGTTGCATGGAAAACAGACAGTCTCATGACTGAAACCATTTTCCAGTAAATAATTATTAATGAAAATTACATTTGGGTTTGTTACATGCGTGTGAAAAATAAAATTCGTCATTTTGTTTATGCAACGTCGCGTGGATTAAAGTAAATTTCCAATATCAGAAAACAAAATCAATTTTTTTTTTTTTTTTTTTTTGTAAACATTGATAACGTGAAAACGTTATCTTTGTTAAAAACTAATAATCCTACAATTAATTAAACTCCTTTTGTAAATTTTTTTAAAGGTATTTGTAAACAAAAAAAAAAAATTATTAAAAACGACAAAGAGTAGGCTTCGACAAAATGGTGTAAATGTCATACATATTCCTAAAAGGGATATTTTGTTTCGAATTCTATTAAGAATTTTTTTTTTTTTTATAATGAATAACAAAAGATTGTAATAATGAATTGTAAATTTTTTGTAAAATTAAAGATGTGATTTTTTAACGTGAAGAGGAATGAAATATCAGATTAGTTTTGAAAATTAAAAAAAAAATCAATAAAAATTTAACATTGACTTTCGACCAAGTGTAAGGCCATTAAAGCGATTACAAAATAAAAATTATTTTAACTCTAATTAAAAACAAACAATTCATTTCATTAATGTTGCCAGTCTTATCAATTAGGAAACTGATTATTAGTTCTTTCTCAAATTCTACACTATTTGAAATACATTCTTGATTTTAATTTTTTTTTTTTAAGCTTAGTTTCGAAATAAGAAAAATAAAATTATATTACATTTAATTATATATAAATAATAATACATATTTATTAATTTAAAAAAAAATTAAACATGGTGATAATTTACCAACAACAAAAAATATTTAAAAATTTGTTAATTCTACATAAAAAAAAAATTTATTAAAAAAAATTAATAAACAAATAAATAAACTTACCATTGCTACTGTTAAACTTGAAATAATAAGTAAATTTAATACACAGAAGGATGACGCAATAAAATTTGCTGGAAACATAATTGTAAAAAAAAAAAACAAAAAAAAGTTAAATCAACCAAATATGACAAATTTTAAAATAAAAAAAAAACTAAAATTAAAAATTTGAATTTTAACGCTGATAAGCAAGAAAATAATTAACAAAAATAAACTATGCCCTTTGTAGTCAAGTTAAATATTAATTGCATCATGCTCAGCAATAGAAACAACGAACGATTCAAATGTAAAGTTTACTATTAAAATGACCATAACGTGTTATTAATGTAAACAAGGACTTTCTTCAACTTATTTTGTTTATGTTATTAAAAATTTAATGAATTGACCCCAAAACATAAAGGCTTCAAGATTTGACAAATCTAATCGTGAGATAGGCGTTTAACCCTAAAAGTTTTCATTTGCACTTTATTTATTTAGATTATTTAATGAAACGCTAAATAATATTATCGTGTAGCAGTAAAACATGAGAGAAAAATACCAATAACATTTGATTTGGTTTGTCTTAAAAGATAAAATAATTACATACCCACATACGAAAACGTTAAAATTCGGAGTAAACAATCAGATATGCATGATCATAATCTTACAATTTTGCCAACTGTTGAACATTTTAATGTCAAAAAGACCCTGGCGCCATTGGAATCACAACACTATTATTTTCAGTTTGTGATAAGATTATTTTGTTTAATATTGCACTAAAGTAAGTTTTCGTTAATTAGATAAAAATAAGAAAATTAAATTTTTTTTTTTTTGGAATATCGGAGGTTTTGCTGAATGCATTTTTATTATTTAGTGTTTTCATATTATCGTTGTACAACTCGATGATTAAATTTCCAAATACGTATATTAGATTATGGATAGGCAGGTGCATTCATCATTTTAGACGTTTGATAACAAAAAATTAAATTCGTTTATGTATTTTATTATTATATATTAATTATTAAGGTTTTTTTTTTTTTTTTTTTTTTTTTTTTTTTTTTTGAAATTTATTTAGTAAGTTCAAATTTTTAAAGGTTTTTGAAAATTAAAATTAATATATTAATTTACTTGTATTATGACAAATTAAAAAATTTTTCTTTTGTTCTAAATAGGTCAAATAATATTAAATTATTAGGCCTTATTTGTGGCTAATTGAAGAAAATGAATAGAAATTAATATGAGTAACAATAATATTCCAAATCCTGGACAAAATGATGTTTCACAAGAGCTTCACTGTGGTAAAGATGCTCTGACTGATTCTTTAGGATGGTTCCTTCAAATCCTATTGGCAACTTTAGCTTTTACCTGCTTAATTTGTGAGACCTGCTTATTTTTACTTCACATTTAGTCCCCCATTATGTTGTAGTCATTATTATTATTATTATTTTTTTTTTTACGATTTTAGTAAAAAGATTTTGTGAACCAAAGTATGTAAGAAGACCATGGTTAATATGGTTTTATGACACATCAAAACAGGGTCTTGGGGCTCTTTTTATTCATTTAGCAAATATATACTTAGCTAGTCAATTTCAAGGTGATCCCTGTACATGGTAAGTGCTTTGTTTTTTTTCAAATCTTTTGTGTACACTTTTGTTATACCAAATTCATTCAAAAGGTAATTATGGTACTCGCTGAATGTATATTACAAACCAAATATCAATATTTTCGATTAAAATAATGTAAAAAAACAAAACGCTTTTAATTATTTCAAAATTTTATATAAAATCAATTTACTTTAAGGTATATTATTAATTTTCTTTTGGATTCCTCAGTTGGGTTACTAATTATATATGTTGGTATAAGACTGTCACAGTATTTTGCCAAAACTAAAAATTGGGAGGCGATAAATTTTGGTGAATATGGAAAACCGCCATCGGTAAATGCATGGTTGACACAATGCGGTCTTTATGTTTTACTCATGGTAGTCGTTAAAATATGTATTACATTATTGATTCAATTTGATTTTTGGGATCAAGTAAGAGACTTTGTTTTATCACCATTTACAAATCCTAAAATTGAATTAGCAGTCGTTTTATTAATAATACCATTTTTTGTTAATGTAAGTAAATTAAAAAAAAATTTTGTATTAAAACCTTATAAAAACCTTATAAAAAATTTTTATACATTAAAACCTTATTTCCAGGCATTAATGTTTTGGGTAACTGATAACTTTTTAATGAGAAAAACATTAAAAAAATATGAAAAAGAATCTGGATTGTTGAAAAAAGTCAAAGTTAAATATCAAAGAATTAAAAATCAAAGACTTTTACATGATGAATTTGAAGAATTGGTGTCTGCAGATGAAGAATTGATAGGTACAGAAGGACATTCTAGAATAATAAGATCAAATGGCGCCACAGTAACATGATTTAAATTTTTTTTTTTTTTTTTTTTTTTTTTACCCAATATCTTGCGTCAGGTTTAAATGAAAAATATTTTATATATAAATTGTCAGATTTAAAAATTATTATCAAGTTAAAAAGTATCAAGTTCAAATAATATTATTATTATTTAAAACTTTTTTTTTTTTTTTCTCGAATAAAAATATAAAAAAGTTTTTAATTCAATATTCGTATAGTGTATGAAGAATATTTAATTTAAACGAAATATTTGAAAAAATTCAAATGAATTTAAATAATTAAATTAAAAAAATATATTTTTAATATGCATATATATATATATAATTGTGTAGAATTTTGCTCAGTATATTAAAAAAAAAAAAACAACAACTTATTTATTTTAAACATGAGTAAATTGATAAATAAAAAACTAATACTGCAATAATGTCGGGTAATATTTATTAATAATATTATGTATTGTTTTTTTATATATATTATTTATTGTTCCTGAGAAAATGAAATTTATTTTTTTCTTGTAACAGTAACAGAAAATAGTATGAAACACATTTTAAAAAGTTCTATACTTACACATTTTATTATAATATATACATAACACAAAATGATAATTAATTCTAAATTAATATTTTTGATTATTTTTTTATAACTTTTTTTGTTTATTTCCTTTTTAGGTTTACTTTGAGATTTATTATGAATTTTTTTTAATTTCTTCTTCTCGAATTTGTTGTAACGAATTTAAATGAGATGAAAAAAAAAAAAAAAAAAAAATTTTTTTCGGAAACGAATTGTTTTATTTTTTTATTATTTATTATTTATTTATTGTTATATTGATTTTTTTGTCACTTTTTTTTTTTTTTTTTCTTGTAAAAAAATATAAAAAAATTATTTTTAAAATGATTTTTTTTTTCTAATTGTTAACAATACTTTATTTATTAATTTAATCAATATTTTTTATTTATAAAAAAAAAAAAAAAAAACCATAAATACTCAATAGAATTAACGTATATGTAATGTTTACAATTTTTTTTCTTTTTTAAAAATCATTTTATGTTTAATTTAATGATAAAATTATCGATTTTTTTTTTAAATAATAATTTTATTACGTATTACAATTTAATGTTTGATTTAAAATAATAATAATAATAATAATAATAAGTATT